GGACTCGGCTCTTCGCTTCTATTGGTTTGTATGTTTGACATCTAGGTCCATCTGCCTATTGATGTATGCCTCATCTAAGTGCATTACCCCCGGGAATTCGCAGTCTTTTTTATAAAAGTGACTGCAAGGACTGAGTGGTGGGAGCCACGCCACTCATGTCCATGGAAAAGACTAATGCCCAGATGATAATTGCAGCCAACAATCGGACGTTTTGCTCAACGCCCAGGTAGCGTCATAGTCATTCACTTATCTCGCGAACCCTTCCAGTCACATTGACCTAACTGCAGCCCGACCGAATGCGACGCGCGCATTCGCAGTCAGAGCTGTCCATGACCGGCTTGTACATAACATTCCTCGGTCAATGCGGAGATAATTCAACCGTCTCGCAAACGTCGACGTCTATAGCGTACCCTACGTAGTCGACACGGCACCGGAGACTTATGCATGAATTAGTTTATAGTGCTAGTAAGCTTGCGTAGCATCAACCAAACCCACCCCCTTACCCAGTTGGGTCTGGTCGCGAGACAGAATCAAGACCGGAGATGGTTCAGAAAGCTGGATAGTCCTACACACGAACCGGTCCCCAGACCATGTGCCAGACCACAATAAGAGCGGATGGAATCTGACATCTGAGGTTGCCGTAGCGGTCACAGTAAGGATTCATTGCTGCCCGACTGCCAGCCACAAGAAGGGTTGATTTAGACCCGTCAGCTCCCAACCTTCCAAATCACGACCTCATCGAGTCGTGATAGCATAAGGTGTGTTAAATCTGTTGTTGTGAGGGATGCGCTGATGTGCCGTGTGACACGGATCTTTCGGTGTCGGCTGCTCTCACGTGTACCAGATAGCTGTACGAGTCTCTCGATCACTGGGCGTGGGGATTTGGAGCAGTGGCCGACGCAGCATGAAGATCTGCATCTAAGGCGTGCAGCACACATGTAGGTACATAGGTACATGAGCCGCTGGGACCCGACACAGCCCGATAGGCGTGTGCCGTGAGCCGGCCTGTCTCCCGTTTTTGTTCAGCGCACCTAAAGCTCAGTTCGTTTTGAGGACCAAGGGCCAATACAGCACTGCTGTCTGTTGCACACAGCAAGGTGAAGCAGGCACGGTGGCTTGCGCGTGATTTAGTTTATAGTGAGTGTCGACTTTCGTTGTATCTTCCCCACCCTCTCATCTCCCCCCTCCATCTGGGTCCGGTGTCAAGACAAAGTCGAGAAGACTGGAGACGGGGGCAACGCAGGTGGTTGGCGCGACCGAGCCAGCACCTCGGCGACTTACTCCACACCCCCTAGTCCACACAGAAAATCAGCAGGTCATGAGGAGGAGGATTTTTGGTCAGCCCTGCTCACTGCCTGTATATCCAGTGGGAGCGCAAGCGCATATACTGGCGGAGAACCAGGTGTCAGAGAATTGCCAACGTATACCAGGCCGTTAGGGTCATGGTTTGTTAATCTTGGCATAGCAGACGCCTACAGACCTTTAGGCGCAGAAGGGTGACACATGGCCCTGCATTTGCCTGGGCCGCCAGTCATCAAGGATAGGTAACCACACAGTCGTTGACTGCGATGCATTACCCATAAAGCACACACACATGCGTGAGAGTGTCATAGATTAGTTAAGACGGAGTCGTGACAGCCTGGTTCTTAGCCCACCAGCCGCTACTCCGCACAAACACACACAACTGGGCAGACTGCGTGAACTGGTTTAGGGCATCAGTCGGCAGCCTTTGAAGCCACAGGGCTCGGCGCGTCATGATGGACTCAGGCACTGATCACACAGGCAACAGAGGAGCAGCATGGATAAGGAGCCGAGAAGCGCACTTTCCACATGCGTGTGAGGTGGCAGTCGGATGTTCGTGATGGATGATGGTGTTTTGTAGTGCGGATGTTCGTGGGGAAGATGCGCGGGTGTAGTGTAGCCGGCGGCTGTCTACTGCAGGTTTTCGTGAATTCACATGCGTCCTAATAGGCCCATGCAGTGAGCGAACGTGCAAGTGCAGTTTGGACAGTGAAGGCGAGTGCGACAAGCGTATGTTGGTGTTCCAGGCACTGGGTCACCAGTCCCTGTGCGAGTAACCGGCCAGACCGGTGTGTGAGGCGAAGGTGCGATCGCAATGAGGACCAGTATGGACCAAGTCCACGTCGCTCGTGTTGACGATGGTGAGGTTGGTGTTTGCCGGCGCGTCAGAATTTTGTGCAGCGGTGGCGGAGGCAGGAGCCTCCGTAGCAGATGTTGAGGCGACGGAGGAGGATGGTTGTGGGGGTGAGATCAATGTTAGTTGTCGGCGTGGAGGATGAGGCAGAGTTGGAGGAGGAGACAACAGCTGGTATAGTCCGGTGCTGCAGTTGTTAAGAAGATGTCTAATGAGACCGACTGGTGCTTCGCGCGTCCGCTGGAAGCGTGGGCAGGCTGTGGGTGGCTGTGCGTTGACGTTGCAAGGCGGAGGCAGTTGAGATTTACGAGCTTCCCATTTGGCTTTGCCGTCAGCTTATGCGGTTGTCTTCGTCGATTGCTGCGCTGGATTTCACTGCTCTCCTCCAGGTCGGTCGCTCCTGGGTGAGGTCTTCCCTATTGGCCGTGTTGATCTGCAGGCGATTCAGGGTATTCTTGTAGCGCTGGACTTGACCTGGTTGTCGGTGGGAACCCATGAGGACATCTCCATAGAAGAGTCGTTTGAGTGAGCGCTCGTTGTCCATACGCAAGTGATGGTCGCTCCAGCGCAGATGCAGCTGTCTCAGCATGGCGTAGATGCTGTGGATTCCTGTCCATTCCAGTACATCCGTGGTCGGAATCCGATGCCACCTCAGCCTTATTATCCTTCAAAGACAGCGGTGGTGGAAGTGGTTGAGCCTTTGCGCCTGCTGCTCGTACACTGTCCAGGTCTCCGCTCCATACGGCAGCGTCGGTTGAGGTTCTGAGGTGGAGACCGTGACGATTCCAGACGGTGTTCTGCAGGCGAACGGAGGCTTGGATGGCCTCGGAGATTTGGCGTGCTACTTCATCGTCGATTTTGGCGCTGCGGGAAAGGGTGCTGCCAGATAGGTGCAGTTGTCCACGGCTTCCAGTTGGACACCGTTCACGTTGATTTAGGGTACGTGGTAGGCAGCCTTGGATGGCGGTTGATGCATAATCGCTGTCTTCCCCGTATTGATAATCAGGTCGTAGTTGTCACAGGCGGTGGCGAGGAGGTCCATGCTCCCCTCCGAAGGTGGTGTTGAGAGCACAGTCGCCTGCGAAAAGAAGTTCGTTGACGGTAATAGTGGATACACACGACTGGAAATGCATCCGCCGATGATTGAAGAGTTAGCCGTCGTGCAGTAGGTGGCACAAATCCCCGGACGTTTGTCACGGTAGACGTCTATTGGCATGGCAGTGAGCATGAGACTGAAGAGGATAGGCGTGAGGACACAGCCCTGTTTCACTCCGTTGGTCACTGCGAATGCCTCTGAGGTGACTCCATTGTCCGTGATGCGTGCCGTCATGCCATTGTGGAGCTGACGCACCATCTGAGAGAATCGCTCGGAACAACCGAATTTCTGCATTATTTTCACAGTCCATCGCGATTCGTAGTGTCGAAGGCTTTTGTCGGGTTCACGAAGGTAGGGTAGAGGTGGATCCGCATCTCCTGGCCCTTCTCCCTTAGTTGGCGGGCGGCGGAGATCAGGTCGGCGGTTCCACAATGACGGCGGAACCCGCACTATCTTTCCGGCAGAAGTCCCTGTTCCAGATGGCTGTTGAGACGCTTGAGAAGGATGCGACCTAAGATCCTTCCGACGATGTCGGGAAGAGAGATGCCCCTGTGGTTGTCGCAGAGTTAGCGGTAACTTTCCGCTTGTGGAGATGGACGATTTCGGTGTCCTTGAAATCTTGCAGGACTTCTCCTTGACGTCACATCTCCTAAAAGAGCGCTTTCAATTGATCCATGAGTTGGGGCCCACCGTGTTTGTAGACCGCAGCACGAATCATGTCCGATCGGGGCGCTTTCCAGCCGGAGAGCTGCTGCAAGGTTCTGATGATTTCCTGGAGGGAGGGTGGGAGGTCGAAATTGATGTTGGTCTCCACTTGAGGCATACGGTCAATGGCGGTGTCGCAGATGGTGGAGGGACGGTTGAGGACGCTTCTGAATTGCTCGGCTCATCGTTGCAGAATTTACGTCTTCTCTGTGAATAAGGTAATTCTGTCGACGCTGAGAATAGTAGCCGTCCCTTTGGTTGTCGGGCTGAAGAAAGCCCTGATCGCAGCGAAAAAGTTCTTCTATTTTTTACTCTCCGCCTACCCTTGGATATCCTATGACTTGCGAGCCGTCCAGGTCTCCTACATCTCCCGCAGCCGCCGTTTCAAATGGCGACGACTACGATGGAAGGCTGCTTCGCTGTCGCCGGTAGGGCGGTTGACATAGGCTTTGTAGAGGCGGCCCTTCCTGACGAGTATGTTGCTGATGGCGGCGTCATTGTTGTCGAACCAGTCCTGATGTTGACGGCTTGCGTGACCGAGGACAGCCAGGGCCGTCGACTGGACTGTGTCCCGCAGATGGCACTATCGGTTCTCCACGGAGGCATTCTCGTTGGCGGCCGCGGCAGCGACTGGAAGGTTGGCTAGCTTTTAGGTTAGCTCATTGCTGAAGTGAAGATGGGGAGTAGGCAAAGACAATAAAGCAGTGTTTAACTCATCTGGAACCGCTTACCTTGAGGCCTCCTGTAAGACTGTAATCAATCCGCATCTTGGAGATGACGAGACGATGGTCGGCTTACCCGTTTGCTCCAGGAATCGCCTATGTCACTAACGCGTCTCTCTGGTCTCCGGACGAGGACAGAGTCCAGTAGGTGCCAGTTTCGCGACCGAGGATGAATCCAGGTCGCCTTCGCCCGCGTCAGAAGGCGGAAGGTGTTAGTCAGAGTAAAGCGGTATTTTGCGCAGGTTCGTAGGAAGAGCAATCCATTGCCGTTGGAGCCGTCGAGATCATGGGGATCCAAAACTCCTCTTCAGACAACATGGCCTGTGCGGACGCGGACGTTGAAGTTATAAAGGACAATCAATTTGTCCGCCTTCGGCACAGTCGTCAGGAGGGCGTGCAGGCCTTCGTAGAATATGTTCCATGCAGCGTCAGGGCTGGTCATCGGGGGAGTATAGACGTTGACGATGATGGCGAATTTGCCTTCCTGGAGAGGCAGGCGGAGGCTCATCAGACGATCGTTGATGCCCTGCGGCAGACAGGATAGTCGCCCACGATGTCATTCCGAATGCTAAAGGCGACGCCCGCTCCAGAAGAAGGTGTAGCCGGCATCCACCCGCTCCAGTCAGCCTTGTACGGAGAATCGAGTCTCGCTGAGTGCATCGATGTGCACCCTGTAGCGCGCCAGCCTCCTAGCCACTAGGGTCGTCCTTTGTTTCGACCGGCTGCTTCTGAGATTATCTAAAAGGGAACGAACATTTCAGACTGAGCGGAGTCACCCTGGCTGTCTGTAGGGTGGTGCGGCGGGTAGGAGGAGGATAGAAAAAGAAGAAAAGTGAGTGTTTTTGTCTTGTGTTTTGATTTTGACGGCACCTGCGAGGCACGGTCTGCGCGCAAGTGTCGTGAACCTTTGTTTAGGGCACCTTTTTATAGCCTCCCTTCTCGCGGGGTAAGCAAAACTCCCCTTTGTCGCACCAGACTAATACCGCTCTCCACTATGGGTCACGGGTTTTAGTGGGAGAACAACCAATGGCCTGCGCCGCAGATGTGGTTGCTAGCCGCTTTCGTCATGGGACTTTCGACCGTGCGGTAGGACAGTAGAGTTAAGTAGAGCAAGGGAGAGGGAGCTAAGTGCAGAGGATAAGTGCAAGGAAAAGGTGCGAAAAAGTAAAAAGGGGCGGGGATTCCAATCACTGGTACAGTAGCTTGCTATGTGCTGAAATGCATATGTGTGCAGGCAAATACAACCAAGCGGTATTTAGCTTACCTGGGGGTTCACTTGCCTTGTGGCCTCCTGCGGGGTTGCGGAGGGAGCCATATCCGGGAGATGGCGGCGAGGTGATTCGCGTGGCCGTCGGAGGTGAAAGGGGAACAGAATTGCCGTGTGTGGAGATGCACACTCGAGTACCCTCACCTGGTTTAGCCTGGCGGTCAAGGCGTCTAAGGGGGGTGTGGCCGCTAGACAGAGTCTAACTTCGGGGAGCCACATGTGAGAGTTGGGTGCTAGCTAATGTAGGCTAAGCGTAGTTTACACCTGCAAGTTAATGGGCGACCTACTACACCTGGACACCCCTACACTTCGGCCAATGCAACGCAGACTGCTAGACACACCACCCCTTTGGTAGTGAAACACACGTGACTTGCACATAAGGCACTTGAAATTACTCTCACAGGCCTACAAAAAGCACGTAATACCACAATTTCTCCCTCGCTCTCTGTTCCTGTCTCCCTGGTATGACTTTACATCCTTGGCATACCCCCACACTCTTAAGCGGCCACTGCCGTTTTTGTCTGGGGATTTTGCGGTGCTCATTCTAAAGCCTCTAGACCCTCCAGACGAGCCACGAGAGAAGTTGTGCCTGAACTACTTTCCACCGGGTCTTTCTTCACTGCCGTAGGGATGATCAGTCTAGGAAGGAAATGGCCTATTTACAGGCGGCCAAACTTATAAAACATAATCAGTTTATCGCAATTTTTACTTCTATGAAGTTATTTTCCGTGAATCCGAGTCATTTTCTTTGGCCTACTCAGTCGCATCTCGAAAAATGTGCATATAATTGCCGTAACACCTAAACATCTGATCAAACGCAAACAGTTGACTAACTGTCATGTCGCTCATTATACGAATTCTTGGACAGTATTTACCTGGAGAATTATTTAAAGGTTTTGTGTCTGTGCAGTCTTATGTACTCAGTTCTGCGTATGAAAATGTATTATGCATTCTTTAAAAACAAGTTTACTCATTTGGCACGATTTTCGAGCTTCTGACATTAACGCCTTTGGCAGGGCATGGGAATGGGAACGTGCCTCGTATTACCGTTGGCCTTTCGCTAAATTCCAGGAAGGAAAACTATTCCCGTGCCCTAACAGTAACCCCAACCCAAACCCAAACTCTAACCCAAACCTCAGTCCTGACATTAAGCCTAATCCTTATCTCCCTGGAATTTGGTGAAAGGCAATTTGCGACACGGGTGTCCCTATTCCCGTGTCCTATTACGTTTTTTCTTGAGAGAAAGCATGTATAACCAGTATATTATCACTTTCAGCATTTCTTTTGTGTTTTTACCCGAATGGCAGTCCTTCATTTCTAAATGGTTTTTACGGTCGATTCATTTGGGCCTAGTTTCCGACTTATTAGAAATTTCTCTTCAATTTATACCCAGTCCATGAATTATGTTACCTATTTTATATCTTCTGTTTCGGTCCAGCAGATACTCGATCAGTCACGCAAAGAACAGTCCCAGACGTCAGAGAAAACTGTAAGGCCCCACTTCTAAGAGAGAGATGGTGCTACTTAAATTACACCACTTGCCTTACATACTCTGAAATTCTGAGTCGATTGCCCGGCGATCAGATCGACTTGACCTCTGTATCGTCCACTAGCCAGCACCACCCTTGCAAACAGCATTATCGCGAGCGTAGGATCCAATATCTCTTTCAGGTAAGAGGCACAGTCAAAAATGCAAATTTCGACTGAAGTGCCATAAATGCGCAGCACTTCCGAAGACATGAATGAAGAGGGTCTCTGCATTCGTGAGCATCGCCGCCCCATCACTGATGGCTCCTCACTAGGAGACCGTCTTAGATTGTCCTAATTTGGAGTCTCGAGGCACGACATGAAGCCCGTAATTCGTCCTACAATCTGGACGGATTGGAGAATGCTAATCACCTTATGACGTCGCACTCTATCTGCTCTCCTGAGACTGTGGAGGCAGAACTCCAGCAGCTGCCGGATACACTCCACGAAAACGGATACCCAGAAAGATTTATCCTTCGAAATATAGGGGAGCGCACTGCAAAGCCTACCACGGCAACTGCAGAAAAGAAGGACTTATTTATAAGACAGCCTTTTCAAGGGGACGCAGCAAGTGAACTAGTAAGAAGACGTCTGAAGACAGCGAGCACTAGCGCTTTCCCCCCGGCGAACTTACGTGTGTGTTTCACTAACTCTCCCCTCCTACGCTTGAGAGGTAAAGACCGACTCCCGTTGCAGGCCACATCGATGTGTATTTATTCATTCGCTTGCTCCTGTGGAGCAGGATACATTGGCCGTACAACGAGGCGCTTGGAAAAGAGAGTACGTGAACACATACCGGCCTGGCTAGGCAAAGGTGAGAAGAAATCGATCTCGAGTTCTATTCTGGCACATCTTGTCGACACTAATCGCCGAGTCGATGTCAAAGAAGTCTTTTAGATTGTCTACCGAACACCAGCAAGCTTCTCCCGAGGCCTACGCCAACGGGTGCTAGCTACAGCTGAGGCATTGGCTATACGGCTAGCCAATCCAGTGCTATGCTGTCAGAAGACTCTGACACAGGCGCTCTGTCTTCCGTGGCCGACGCCGACCCAACGTCGCCCCAACCTCCTGATGCCAGGGTGTGTGAACAACGTACCCGACGTACTCACAGTCTATGGCCCCCCTCTCCCTCGCCCCCTGAACACAATGACTACGACAGGCCGACCACGCCATAGCACGCCTCGTCATGCGAGTGGCGTGGGAACGATGGATGTTTATTGTCCCCGAATCATTTATAAGTCATGTAATTCGCATAACTTAAACTTCATTGTAACCGTTTTGGCCTGATGAAGAGTTACTGAAAACACGTGTTCGCCAATTTGACTTTTCAATTGTAACATGGGAATATTCGCTGAACTTAGACAATCCAAAGAAATCTGTGAATTCCATTCGCTACTTGCGTCCGTCAAGAGGATATAAAAAGAGTTTTCGGAAACTATCAGAGCCGTTTCTGTGCTCCACGCTTTGTCCGCCCGTTGTCCCCTGTACTCTCTGGAGTAGAGGCGTTATGTGCTGAGGTTGAAGCAGGACGTCTCAAGCAATCGACACTTGCGTCGACACGTTGATTCATACTGTGTGCTGGTTGGTCCTTTATCAGCCAATAGAATGACCGAGAAGGTTTGGGCGAATCACATGGCTAACGTAGGGCGCGGACGAGTTGTATGCTCGAGTTGCGCGACGTAGTCTATCGTCCTCATCTTCGTGAGTCTTTTTTTCGCTTATTTTGCAGGATGTTGGCACTGGAGGGGCATCTGAAGAGTGATGATTTTGGAAGGTGTTACTGGCGCGTTTTCCCCATCAGAGGTTGCCGGAGTGAAGACGACGGACTTTTGTTTGTCGACGAGAGTAGGCCGAAACCAGTGCCCTTATTCCTTATTACATGTAATATGACAATTGAGTGAAAATGACAGTCAACCCTGTCGGCTCAAACATTCGAAACATTAGTTTTCATGCAAACAGAGTAAATCTCGCCCCAAAAAGAATACTTAACTCACCTCGTGTGCTATGGGAAAACGAGTAAGGTGGATTTTAGTTGACGAGCACGGAGAAGTTCACTTTCATAGAATGGATAGTTGAGTATGAAGTTCTTCCGTCCACAACAAATTTATAACAGCGAGTTTTACTCCCAGG